AGCCGCAAGAGCCCCGAGTACACGACGCTGCGGAAGCGCTGCAGGCCCGGCACCATCGCGATCATCCTCGCCGGCCGCTTCCGTGGCCGCCGTGCGGTGATCCTGAAGCAGCTCCCCGGTAACGGCCCGCTGGTTGTTTCCGGGCCGATGAAGTACAACGGCGTGCCGATCCGCCGCATCGACTCCCGCTACCTCATTGCGACCTCGACGAAGGTCGACGTGAAGGACGTGGACGTGAGCGGCATCACCGCCGACATCTTCGCGCGCCCGAAGCAGGAGAAGCGCGTCAAGTCGGAGGGGGAGTTCATGGGCGACAAGGCAAAGAAGGCCGCGGAGCGGAAAGGCGAAGAAGACGGCGAAGGCGGCCCCGAAGGGGACCGTCAGCGACGCCCGGGCGCAGCTGCAGAAGCAGGTGGACGCCGCGCTCATTGCGGCCATCAAGAAGGACCCGCTCGGCAAGGAAAAGGCCGGCTACCTTCACTCCGTCTTCACCATCAAGCCGGGTGATGCACCGCACCGCATGAACTGGTAAAAGCCCCATGCGGCGTGGATGTCTGGATTCCCGCTCCTTCACTTTTACGCGACTTGTCCCGACGCGTCCTTTTTTGTTTTGGTTTGTTTTTCATCTTTTTTTTTTTTCGTTTTCTTTCGTTTCTTTGGTTGGTGTGGGGTTGCCGCGCGCCGGACTTCGTCCGTCTTCGCCGCCCGTGCCCCCCGCCGGCGTTGGCGGTGGTTGTGAGGCGTGGCAGCAGCAGGACGTGGCGGTGTGAGGCGGCAGCGGCAACAACACACAAAACGAAGTAAAAAAAAAGAACAACGACGAATAACTGAGCGGCTCATCCCGATCTCGCTTTTTGCTGTCGTTGTTGCGTTGGCCGGCTCCTTCAGCGGCAACCGCCGCTGTGCCGCGGACGTGTAAGACGTGTCCTCCTGCAAGCAAAATGGCAATAACAATCTCTTTTGCTTCTCGCTCGCTCTCTCTCTCTCTCTCCTGCTGCTTTCTTGTGTTGCCGTCGTGGCGCCGCCGCCGTGCCGTGTGCGCCTGGGGATGGGGGGCATGTAAGCAGCAGCGAAGCGGCATTCTCCGCGTAACAGTTTAGTCAGTGCATCAAAACGCCATAGCGAGCGAGGAGTACGTGCGTGCACTACACACTTGCGTACATTTATTTATATACACATAGCTTGTCAGTAGTGGTAGGAAAAGGAAATAGGAATAAATTGCAGAAATGCCCTCGGCCCCGCTTGCAGGTGAGGTGGCGCGCTACAGCAGCCCCCTTTTTATGTATCGCCGCATCTTGAGGAATTCCGCGCCGAAGCCTGAGACCGTGTTTACGGCAAAGGACAACCGCAAGACGGCCTTTCACGTTGTGACGCAGCGACCAGGCTATGGAAACAATCCGTACGCCGTGAGCCGCTGGTACCTCAAGGAGAAGGTGCACAGCAGCAATAGAAATCGACTGGAGGGCTTGTACGAATGTGTGCTTTGTGCCTCCTGCACCGGAAGCTGCCCGCAGTATTGGTGGAACCGCGAGCACTTTCTCGGACCCGCCGTTCTCTTGCAGTCGTATCGCTGGTTGATTGAGCCGCTCGACCGCGATTATGACAGCCGTGTCAGCATGTTTGAGCATGGCTCCTTGGTGAACTTTTGCCACAACATCTTCAACTGCAGCATCACCTGCCCGAAGTTCCTTAACCCGGCGTACGCTGCGAAGGAAATTAAGCGCATGGGCTCGCCCGCAACACCGCGTGTGCCACCTCCACTGGACAAGCCGGCAATCACGAAATAGGCTGGTGAATAGGCATCCCTAGAAACAAGTGGAGGGTTGTGTGGGTTGTGGGTGTGTGGGCAAGAATGCATGCAGGGGATGCGGGGGTGTAGGTGGTTTGACCATAAACTTGCCCTTTCTTTCCTTGTTGTTGTTGTTTGTTTCTTTTGTTGTATGCCCCAATGAAGAAGACGCAAGGGTGGGTTACTCATTTTGCCCTGCTTCCTTTCACGCGTGCTTTTAGCACCACTCCACGCCGCCGCTTTCTCCCCACCCTCCAAACTTCTCTTTATTTATTTATTTATTTTTTGCTTTTCTTTTCTTTATTGGTGTGAGTTGGTATGAAAATTGCCTCTCGGGAAAATATGGGAATAAGTGTCGTCTTTGCTGTTGTTGTTTGTTTGTTTGTTTGTTTGTTTTTTACCATCTCTATCCCTCCCTATGCATGTGTGCGTCTGCACGTGTGTGTGTGTGTGTGTGTGTGTTTGCGCCTATGCGGCGTGTGTGGTAGTGGAAGATCAACGCAGAAGATACTGTGCTTGTAGCAGTGGTGGATGCTCTGGTTGCGTCTGTATTACAGTTTGATGGGGGGAGGGGGGGAGCGGGGGCGAATGCAAGTCTCTCTCTCTCTCTCTCTCTGTATATGTGTGTGTTTGCGTGGATGCCGCTGTCTAGTGCAGCAGCGGCGTGCATTTACGTCTCTGCCGGGCTGCTTTGCCGCCTATTTGTGCCTTCTCTGCTCCGTTTCACGCCACGCTTTGGGAGAAGCCGTAGGAAAAAGGAGCGAAGAGGAGGGGCGACCGTTGATGCACAAAACGCATGTTTCTTAGCTTTTCTGTTGAAGAGGACTCGGTGCGGCCGTTTATGCACCTGCTGCATACCGTCTCCAAGCAGGGCGAGGGGGTCTTCTTCGAGCCGCACCGGGACATGTTGCAGCTGCGTGTGGTGAACAGTACCCGCAGCACGCACATGCTCGTGACCATTGCCGCCTGCCACCTTAAGGGCTACCGCTACATCCATAGAAGTGCCGCGGCAGATTCCTCCGGGCAACCGGGCAGCGCACCAGCCGGGACAAGTTCGTCGCTCCACGACGAGGACGGGGAATTTTACTTGCTGCTCCCAACGAAGGCCCTCACCATGACGGTGCTACGCCAGTCGCAGGGACTGGGGAAGATGCACGTTCGCTACGACCCCAACTCGGCGTCCGTCATGGCCGCCTGTGACACACTGCAGTGGGAGTGTGTGTTGTCCTGCGGCACCACAAAAAGCTTTGCGCTTCCGCTGGCGGAAGGACGACCGGAGCGCGCCTTCTTTGCACCCGAGCGGTTTCTTTTTGATGCGTGTGGGGAGGCGTGGTTGTGGGGGGCGCTGCTTGGCTGGTTCCCCGCGTCACGGCCGCGGGTTGTGGTGCAGCCCCTCAAGTCGCGTCTTGAGCTGTGGGTTGTGGACAACGGTGAGGCGGACGCCACGGAAGGCGCCCACCCGCCGCTCGACGGCAGCAAAAGCGGCGGGGCGGAGACGAAGGTTGTGGCGTCGCAGGAGCACTTCCGCTTTATGCAGCTGCATGCGCCCCAAGACGACGAGCCGCACGGCGAATGGACAACGTCGTCGAGGGAAAATGGCGCCGTGGCGGAGGCACGTGCCTCCGCCACGGGATCGAATGGAGTGCTGCTGCCAGGTAAAATCATTGAACTGAAACCGTTCAAGCAGGTCTGCATGCTGGCGCATCAGCTCGGCTTGATGATTCGCGTGCGCACCGGGGGGGAGGGCCTCCCCGTTTTTGTGGAGGCCATCACGGCCCAGGCGGCTTCATTGGCAGCCAAAACTGCAGCTACCGATGCCACCACCACCACCACCGCCGCCGCCGCTGCTGCTGCTGTGCCTGTTTTTTCAGGCAACGGTGTTGCCGTTCTGCAGCAGAATACGTTTGGCAAACACTTACCGCCGGCGGATAACGCGTTTCAAGTAACCTTCTCCATGTACCTTGCGGCCTTTGACGTGCCGCAGCGGGCCATGGACGGCGGTGAGGGGCTTACGGCGACGAGTCGCCGCTCCATCAACTCCGTCACCACCGTAGCGGGCGAAGACCGCGGCGTCGCTGCGGCGGGTGGGACGCACGAGGCCGAGGCCCCGGTGGCCGCCACGTGCTTTGCGCCGCTCTCAGCGGGCGCGGCGCCGCCGTCGGGGAGCCCGCAGCAGACGCTCCCCACGATGACGGCGACCACAGCCCCGGGGCCCGACAGGCGCCCGACATGCGCCGCCAATGGGACGGAGCGTGTAAAGCATGGCGCCCCCTCGCCGCCCGGTGTGCTGGTGCCCGCGTCGCTCGGCCGGGGGTCGTCGGGTCTCCTGGACGGGCCCTCGCAGGTGAACGCGACTCCCTCGCGCGGCGGTGAACGCGCGCTTCCCTCCGCGGGCGGCGAGGTCGTGGTGGGGGCCACACCGGACGCCCCTGCCGATGCTGTGGCTGCTGCTTCTGTCGCCGGTGGCGGGGCCGTCACGCCGCGCAGAGGCGGCAAGCGCCCCCGTGGCGGCGAAACCGTCGACGGCGCATCCCCCCAGCAGACGATCGTCAGTTGTACCGCCGTCGCCCCCACCGCCACGTTGGCGGCGCAGTCCGCCTCGTTCGTGGCGCCCACGAACGTGTCTTCCAGCGACCGGACGCAGGCGGGCGTCCAGCAACGAGAGGAGGGGCCAACGCTCTCGGATTCGGCACGACCTTCGATGGGAACTCGGCTTCCGCTTGACTTTAACGCCTTTATGCAGGAGATTGCGGAGGAAGCGAAGGAGGAGGAGGAGGAGGAGGAGCCAAGCGAGGAGGACGAGGACTTGCAGCGTTTTCTTGACAGTTGCATATCGTTGTTTGTGCAACCGTCAACCCAGACGGCCCAGTCACAGTAGTCCACTCTTTTTTTCCCCCGTTTTGTGTATGTAGGGGGGTTTGCCGGACTTTCTTGCTCTGCCCCTTCATTCACCCACCTGCCGACCTAGTTGCACGCATCGCACTGCGCCGCGCTTACGCACAGAGAAGCGGAGGAGGAAGGAAAAGCGGGTAAAGCAAAACAAAACAATAAATAGGCAGCAACAACAGAAAAAGAAAAGGAATGGCGTTGCCTCCGAATACGTGCGCAGTCCCTTTTATCTCCTGTGGTGTCTGTGTTTGTGTGTTTTCTGTGGATGAATTGCCTTTATCTTCTCTCTCTCTCTCTCTCTCTCTCTCTCTCTGTGTGTGTGAGTAGCTTTGTCGGCGCAGCCCAATACCCTCTGAGGGGGGCTGATCGAGCAAGTAAGCACAAGGGAGATAAGGGAAACGAAGGGAGCGGCAACAGAGGCAAATGCACCAGGAGGGGGGCCCGCGAACGACCCTAGACGCCACGGTGCGGGATGACAATCCGTATAGCCGACTCATGGCGCTGCAGCGAATGGGCGTGGTAGACAACTATGAGGCCATCCGCCAAAAGTCTGTGGCGATTGTGGGCGCAGGCGGGGTGGGGAGTGTCGTGGCGGAGATGCTGACGCGCTGCGGCATCACAAAGATTTTGCTCTTTGACTACGACAAGGTGGAGCTCGCCAACATGAACCGCCTCTTTTACCGCCCCGAGCAGCAGGGCATGACGAAGGTGGAGGCGGCGAAGCAGACGCTGGAGAGCATCAACCCGGACACGGAGATTGTCCCCTACGCCTTTAGCATTACCGCCACCGAGCACTGGCAGGAGTTCGTGGACGCCCTCACGAAGCACGGCGGGGTGCAGCCAAACTCGCCTGTAGACCTGCTCCTCTGCTGCGTGGACAACTTTCAGGCCCGCCTCACGGTCAACTACGCCTGCCTGCTTCACCGCCTTCCCTGGATGGAGAGCGGCGTCGCGGAGAACGCCGTGAGCGGCCACATCCAGCTCCTGCTCCCGGGCGTGACCCCCTGCTACGAGTGCTGCCCCCCGCTGGTGGTGGCGACAGGAATGCCGGAGGCGAAGCGCGAGGGCGTCTGTGCGGCCTCGCTCCCCACCACCATGGGCATCGTGGCGGGATTCATGGCGCAGAACACGCTCAAGTATTTGCTGAACTTCGGCACGGTGAGCGAGTACGTCGGCTACGACGCGATGCGGGACCACTTCCCCTGCGTCGCCATTAAGGCAAACCCCGAGTGCCGCAACGAGACCTGCGTGAGACGGCAGCAGGAATACGCTGCGCGGCGTGCCACGATGGGCGACGCGGCCCACCCGCTGTATCAAGGGAGAAAACAAAGGGAGGAGCGGGCGGCGAAGGAGCGGGCGGCGGCGAAGGCGAAGGCGGCGGCGTCTGCGGCTGAGTGGGGAATCGTGGTGGAGGCGCAGGGGAAGGAGGACTTGGTGCTGCACGCGCCGCAGCCGGGCGGCGCAGACGACGTCGGTGTGGAGTACGCGTACAGCGACGGCGCCGGGAACGCGGCGAAGCACGCGGAGGAGGAGTTTGTGTCGACGGACGGCGGGGAGTCCCTTGAGGCGTTGATGGCAAAAATGAAGGCTCTGCAGCACTAACTAAAATCGTGACTCGCCTGTGGACACGTGTAAAAAGAAAATAAAGGAAGGGAAAATGACGTCAGCGCTTTTGCTTTCCCCTCCTCGCGCTTCCTCTCATTCCCGGTTGGGGTGTGTGTATGTGTGTACGGCGAGAGAAAGGGGAGACGAAAGAACGGCTTCGTGCAACTTCCCGTTCGTCGGTGAGGGCTGGTCGTCTGTGCATAACTGCAGCTGTGTGCTTGCCGCGCCCAATGGAAGGGCGGGTTGGCTTGTTTGGTTTTTCCTCTCCCTTTGGCTCCTTGCCGCCACTGCGTGGCTTTGCTTGAGTTCTCCTCCCCTGAATTTATGTTTCCTTTTTTTTCCTTTTTTTCTGGTGTGGGGGGGGGGTCTTTGTCGCTCCTTCGCCCCGCGGCGTTGGCGTCGCTGTCGCTTGCGCGGTTGGATGCAAGCGAAGAAGCAGAGGCGGAGGAGAGCGGGTTTTTTCTCCTGCTTCCTTCTCTCCGTGTGGTTTTGGCTTCCGGTGCTAAATACACGCAGACACATACATACCTGCCTACCGTCGTGCGTCACAGTTCCAGGCCGAGGGGAGGGAACGAGAGGCGGGCTCGCGCAATGGCCGGAGAGGAGCCTCTCAAGGAAATCCCGGGCGAGTGTCCCACGCCGGGCGAACTCGGCCACGCCGGCTGGGCCGTTCTGCACACCGCCGCCGCCGTGTACCCGTACAAGCCCTCTGCGCTGCAGCAGGAGGCGTTTGGCGCCTTCCTACACAGCTGGTCGCACGTGTACGCCTGCAGTCACTGCGGCTACCACATGCGGCGCTACTTGAAGCGCAACCCGCCGGTGGTCACGGATAAGTTGGCCCTCAACCGCTACCTGTGCGAGTTTCACAACACCGTGAACAGGAGTGTGCGGAAGCCGGTCTACGACTGCGACCCCATGACGGTCCTCCGCCGCTGGCACCCGACGTTTCCCGAGATGGAGGACCAGCCGACGATCGAGGAGCAGATTGCGCAGCAGCAGCGACTGGACCAGGCAGAAGCGCAGAAACGGCAGGAGGAGGAGCTGCAACAGAGGCAGACACACACCGCGGCCCGCGCGGACGGCGCATCCTCGCAGGAGCGTCTGGTGGCTCGCTGGCGCTCCGACGGCAGGGAAACTCAGAACAACGCAGGAAACAGCAAGAACAACGGCGGCGGGGTGGGGGCGTTTGCGTCGGGGTGGGGCGCCGCCTCGCGTCAGGAGGAAAAGGTGGAAGGCGCAGCGGCAAAGGAGGCGGCGGTCCCGGTGGCGGAGAGCCGCCAAAGGCGGTGGTGGCCCTTTGGAAATAACGCTGCTGCTGCCACCACTAAAGGCCCCTCCTCCACGCCCCCGACGCCGAGCAGCGTGGCCGGCGGCAACGTGGATGACGACGAGGCCGATGTGATGGCCGTCCTGAAGCGCCTCAAAGCCTGCTTGGTGTACTGCCCGGACAAGGACAAGAAGCCTCCCGCAGCGTAGTAGCTTTTTTTTTTCTGCCCACTACGACCATGCTGAATACGCGGAATACGCTTCTTTGCGCCATCGCGGCAGGTGGAGGCAAAGGCGCCACCCATGTGTAACGTCATCTATGCAGGTCATTCCTGCTCCACAACCCATTCCAGTTGGATGGAGACGCGGGGCGAGGAGGTAACGGCAGAGCGGCGGCTTCTGCGCTTGTACGTCTTGCTCCCTCCGTTACTTTGGGCACTTTCTTTTTTTTTCTTTTTTATGATTGGGACGTTTTACGTGCATTCCTTCCCAATGCGAAATGGCAACTGGGCGAGATGTGTGACGTCAGCCAGCATTGTGCGCCTGCGCGGTGAATGTGCTGGTGTGTCGAAAGGTGTGGTGGGGAGCTCGAGCCTGACTCGACGAAGCGGCCGCTAAGAAACATAAAGGGCACGCAATTATTTAACGGCACGAGCGCTACTATTTGTTCTGAGCATATGTGTGTGTGTGTGTGTGTGTGTAATAGGGGTATCGCATTATTATTACTATTATTATTATTACGGTTGGTATTACTGTTGTTGCCCTCGTGTCTGCTTGGAGGCGCCGCGCGAAAGAGAAGGAGCAGAAGAAAAGAGGGGGATGCGCGAGTGGGCGACGCAAAAGGCGACAGTCCACAGTGGCGGGAAGTGCGTCTCGATGGGCGTGCCCGTTGCGTCGCAATCAACCGGCGGTGCTGCTGCTGCTGCTGCGGATTGCCCCCCCAGTTTTTGTCTGCGCCGCCGGAGCCTTCGCCCTCCCCCCCTCCCTCCTCCCTGCGTGCGTGCGCGTGCGTGTGCCCTTCGCAGCCGAGCCGCCCTTTGACTTTTCTGCATCTCCTGCTGCTGCTGCTGTTCCACCCCCCCACCCCCACCACACACACACACCCACCCGCACGCACGCACACGTGTAGAGCAAGAGAGAGAAGCAAGTAACGGGTTGCGCCGGCGAAGAAGAAAGCAAGAACGGCAATGGGGCCTCTCTCCAAGAAGCGCATGATCGTCCGTGATGGCGTGTTTTACGCCGAGCTGTTTGAGTTCCTCAAGCGCGAGCTCGCCGACGACGGCTTCGCTGGCGTGGAGCACCGCATCACGTCCACCCGCACCGAAATCGTCATCCGTGCCACAAAGACGCGCGAGGTGCTCGGGGAGAAGGGCCGCCGCATCCGCGAGCTCACGGCGTGCCTGCAGCAGCGCTTTCACTACAAGGAGGGCAAGCTGCAGCTGTACGCCGAGCGCGTCGAGGTGCGTGGCCTCTCCGCCATGGCGCAGGCGGAGTCACTCCGCTTTAAGCTGCTGAGCAACCTGCAGGTGCGCCGCGCCGCCATGGGCATCCGTCCGCCACGTGATGGAGTGCGGCGCCGAAGGGGTGTGAGGTGACGGTGGGCGGC